AGAAGTGGTTCAAGTTGAAGGCCTCACCCTGTATCTTAATGCGTGTGACCGCATTACTGTTACTGTGCGTGTCAATTGGTTACCAATTTGGAAGCTTTGTGAAGACGTATCCAAGGCTCTGGGCTCCTACGGGGAGATCAAGTCGAATCGGCACCTGAGTGAGAACGGTTTGGCCACGGGTGTGAGGGAGTTGTCCTCTCCGTGAGGGAGGGCGACCAAACTCATATCCCGTACATAACACAAATACATGACAATAAATGTCTATTCTCAGTGCCTGGTAAGGCACCTATATGTTTTAAATGAAATCAAATTGGCCACCTAAGACAGGATTGTCAGTATATGGCAACTAGCCACACGTATCAGCCACGTAGTTATGGAAGTTATGCTACAGCAGTAAGATCCACGGCTGTCGGTAAACCGGCCAAAATGGCTGGGGAGGCCTTTAGTAAGCCTCGGGTGAAGCCCCGGAGCTCTCCCACGGACAAGGGTAAGGACCGCGGTGGTGCCCAGGGAGAGTCGGTTCAGGTCGACTCCCCCCGAATAATTAAGAGGACTACGGTGGTCCTCAGCAGGAGGAGTCCACGGGTGACTCCTCTTCAGTGGAACAGTCACCCAAGGGGGGCACTGAGTAGACCCTTTGGCAGGGGAACACTGAGGTGTCCCCTAATAAGGTCTGTGATACATCCATTATGGAGGATACACATGCAGTCAAAGAAATGGAAAGGACTGTAAAGGTTTAATTGCAGGGGCCACGGGCATCTATAAATTCATTCGGTAGAAGGGATTTGCCGAGATTCTTAGGAAGATCGACGACCAGGTTACCATCTTGGTAGTGTGGCAGATAGAGAGTGCCGAATATCATTTGAAAGGTGTTATGTAATTGGTTGGAAATTTTCAGGAGAGCCGAGTAAAATTTTGCTCAGACGAAATTTGATTGGCTTTCCAGGTTTATGCATGATTCACGAAAAACAAGCAAAATGTCGATCAAACAACCACGGGTATGAGGAAGCTTGCGGACTCAAAACCCGTGGTCTGCGACGATGCGGTTTTTTTGTCTCATTCATGTTTTTCTGTGTTGTAGCTCATGTAGGTCAGTATGTGTAACGTTGTTTCTATCAAATTGTTTATATTATACTTTGTTACAAAGTAATATATTATTATTTCATATTTATTTGCTATTGTATTATGTATATATTGTATTATGTATCTGATCTTGCTAGTAGGTTTAAGCTTCATGGAGGATACTCAGCTCAATTTTATGGAAAGAACTGTCAAGATTTTTTTGCAGGGTCCTCATTCATCGGTGAATTCGTTTGATAGACGGGAGTTACTACGCTTTTTACGCAAGGTTGACGACCAAATCACGATCCTGGCTGTCTGGCAAATGGAAAAGGCCAACACCTGGTTTGTTACGTATGCGGGCCCTCACATCGTGGACCAGCTTGACGGAGAAACAGTGAAGGTTAGTGACTTAACCTTGCATGTGACCGGATCTTTGCGACTGTCCGCGTGCATTGGCTCCCGACCTGGGAGTCAAACGATGAAGTAGGCAAGGTACTGTCGGACTATGGTGACCTTAAATCCATCAAACACGTCATCGACAACGGTGTGGCCACGGGGATGAGGGAGGCCGTCATTCCGGTGTGAAGAGGTGGGACACCTAAGGCATGAGTGTCCATACATGCCCTCAGGTGTCACCGGTCAATGGGCCCCGTAGCTACACTATGGCGGCCCATGCTTCGCCTGTTAGCAAGCCGGATTCGATTGAGTCTAATGAGGCTGTCAGTAAGCCTCAGGAGGAGCACCGGAGCTCCGACGACGACAAAGCGAAGGACTGCGGTGGTCTCCAGGGAGAGGAGACGTCAGACAAATATCCCCCAGACAATAAGGAGGACCACGGTGGTCGTAGGCAGGAGGAGTCCAAGGGTGACTCCTCCACCGGGAATCTGATACCAAGGGGGGCACTGAGATGACCCTTGGGCGGGGGGACACTAAGGTGCCCCCCAGCCAGGGGGGATTGAGGCGACCCCTGCCTCGGGTGACACTAAGGTACCCCCTGAGGGCATGGAGAACGACTGGGGAGTGGTCCACAGTTTAGAGGGGGTCGTATAAACCTGTTCCCAACACCTGTTCACTACCTGAGTTAGACTTTGATACGCTTTTTTATTATATAACATTGACCATTAGAATCGCCAAGCTAAATATTAATGGGCTTTTAAATGTCCCGTCTAAAAAAATGTGAAATGATTTAATTATTCACTGACATTTACAAAACAGTATTTAGGAAAAGAAACAAAGTGTAGTATCTTGCCAGAAGGTCCGTTAATCATGGACGACACCAAACTCAATCAAATGGAAAGTCAAATGTTTGTTTCAGAGGTAAACTGGAGGTTGGCGTGTTTGGTAGACGGGATGTACTCCCGCTTTGTGCAGACTTTGGACGAGAAAGTTGAGCTACTGGCCATCTGGGATATGGAAAAATACAACATATGGTATTTGACTTTCGCTGAGACACGATTCGAAGACCGTTTGGACGGGGAAGTTGCTAGTTTTAAGGACGAAATCACACTTTACTTTGATGTTTGCGACAGGATTATAGTTAATGTGAGAGTGCATTGGCTCCCTATATGGGAGCCAAATGAGGATGTCGCCTCTGTACTGGCGTCCTACGGGGAAGTCAAGTCGACACGACATGTGATCGACAACGGTGTGGCTACGGGGTTGAAGGAGGTCGTCCTTTCCATGAGGGAGGGCGACCAGGCTCACATACCTTACATATGCAAAATCCACGGGAATAGGGTACTACATTCCGTGGCTGGCAGAACCCCGGTCTATTTCAGGTGCAAACAGGTCGGCCACGTGATGCAGGAGTGCCAGTTCATGGCAGGTGGCCACAGACCTTACAGGCCCCGTAAGTATGCTACGGCGGTCCGTAAGCTGGCTGTCGGTAAGCCAAGGTCAGAGGCTGTCGGTAAGACTCGGGAGGAGCCCCGGAGCTCCTCCACGGACAAAGCGGAGGACCGCAGTGGTCCCCAGGGAGAGGAGACGTATGTCAAATCTCCCTCAGACAACCAGGAGGACCACGATGGTCCTAGGCAGGAGAAGTCTGCGGGTGACTCCCCCTCAGTTGAGAAGTTACCCGAGGGGGGGCACTGAGGTGACCCTCGGGCAGGGGGACACTGAGGTGTCCCTTGTTGAGGGGAGCACTGAGGTGTCCCCGAGGACATGGAGGACGACTCTGGTGAAAGAGGGGGTCGAAACAGGCAACCCCCAGACCCTGATAGGGCACAGCTAGACATTGAGTGACAAATGTGAACTTTCCTTGTTACAGGACAATGACGGCGTGTTACCCCTCCCCAATTGACCATTCAAGTTATCATTTATTAGTTTCTTTTTTAAGTCAATATCAATTTTTTAAAATATATGTAAAAAATTATTTTTAGTGGAAAATGGTTTTATTACTCACTGAGATTTATAAAGAAGTATTAAAGAAAAGAAACAAGGCATAAACATTAAAGAATTGTGTATTTTTTATTGTATAGAGAGTCTTCGGAGCCGAAAATCGGTATCTTTTCTCGGCCTTTTGGCAAAGATACGATCACAATCTTAAAGTTTTTCTAAGGTTATATTGCAGAATGTTAGAGATCGAGGATATGTCTTAGAACTTGCTAATGGCCAACACGATCAAGATTTCAAAGGGTTCGTCCAGGATGATCAGGAGAGACGATATAACTCTGTGTACAGAGTTCCTGGAGATAGATGACATGGCTGGTAGGCAGATGGAGAAAAGCGATACTTGGTACATAACCTTTGAGTCACAAGAATCGGTCAACTCACTTGACGGCCGGCAGATAAATGTGGACAAGGCAACGGTGTATCTCCAGGCCTGTGACAGGGTTTCGGTGCAGATCCACTGGCATCCTCTGTGGATGTCACAGGAGGAAGTCAGGCGATCGATAGACATAAACGAAGAGGTTGAGAAGCTGGAGTTGGCGACTGAAAATGGTGTGATGACAGGAGTGAGAACCGCCATCATCAGGATGAATGAAGGGGAGCAGCTGTACATCCCGTACATCACTTCCATGTTCAGCTACAAATGTCTGTTTGTGGTCCCGGGTCGGCCCCACTGTATGTTTTAAATGCGAGGGGGTCGGCCACTAGAGAGGCGATTGCCTCCATTTTTGGGGTTACAATAAGACTAAACCCCGAAGCTAGAGGGGAACAGAGTGTCCCCAAGAATAACGGTACACCCCCTGGGGTTCTTAGTTAGCCCCAGGAGGAGACTGTTAGCAAATTTCCAGACAATTAGACTGTTTTGAAGTCTCGGGAGAAGGATTTCTTGCCTCATTGGACTCCCTTAACCTAATAGAGAACCACGACAGTCCCGGAGGTGGGGGATAGTAGCTGCTGACCCCTCAGTCAGGCCAGGAAGACCTGGTTGGTTCTCCTACGCAGGGGGAATCCGGTGGCGACTCCCTCATTGAGGAAATCTGGAGTGGCACCCAACTGTGTACCACAGGGGGTTACACTGAGGTGTCCATACGAACAGGGCGGACCAGATGACCATAGACACAGATAAGAACAATTAAGGTTTCCAACCTGTCCAGAGGTAGAGGAAAGTGTCCGAATAAACGCGAGATGACCCGGTGAGCCCTTGGTCGGCCGCGCCCAGTAAGGCTAATCGTAAGTAACATTATGTAATGAACGAACTTTGAACGGACTATGGCGGTGGTGAGTCCCCCTGATAACAACTCGGTCTGTCCCTGAACTTTCCAACACTGTGTAAGGAATTTTTCTTGGTGTTATTTAATTACTTTTATTATAATTTGTGTTTAAGTTATGTTCATTTTGTTCTTTTTGTCTGTTCATTTATATCTGTTAGGTAGTTCATTCATGTTTTCTTTTCAACGAAATTTTTATTTGAGTCAGACCTGGCTCCGGGATCATGAAACTGTCTTAAATTAAAGTCTGAATTTTGTCTTTATTTTAAGATCTAGACTTAGTTAAGATCGAGTACTTAAATGGATCACAAAACGATCTTAACAAAAACTTTGTTAAGATTCGTCTTAGTCAAATAAAAAGAAATGGTCATAGCAACTCACGTGGAGTTTGGCGCGTATACGGTAAATGTGGAACTCTCTAATGTTTAGGAGATACAATATTTTCGTCTGCATACATTAGTAACGCTATTGCGCAATGGATGTCGAAGTTCCTGAAACTCCAAAGAAAAGGTCGAGGAAATCAAACTGGGACCCCAGGGACGAAATAACTTTAATCGAAGAGGTACAAAAGCGGGAGAAGATACTATTTGGAAAGTTAGACGGGCCAGGGAGGACGACAGTAGACAAGTCAAAGGCCTGGAAAGAGGTCACTGACCTAGTCAATGCGTAAGTGTTGACATATTTCCCCAAATCATTATACAATGCCACAAAATAAAACTTCGATGAAAACTTATCTCCAATATTGAAAAGAAAACCAATGGTGTTTAAAAAAATTACTAGACTGTGGCAGTTTCAACGGGTTTGAACTTACTATCAGCAATGCAGCTAGACCTATGTATACAGTGTAGGCTAGGCCCTAGTTGTTTTCATACGACAACACAACCAATAAGCACTAGCAAAGTCTAAAAAAGAAATTCGGACTGTGCATTATAACAGCTGATTATTAATCTTTAATCTTATGCAAGATACAACAGTCTCAAAATTTTTAAATAGTGCATATACAGTAGAATAACAGAATTTACAAAAGGGGAAACCCGAAAGCTATAAATAGCAATCGCAATGTACATTATAAATCATTGAAATGGAATATTAAAAATCAACCACAACTGCAATAAAAAGCAAATTTTGTTAAAAACTAGTAGATTCATGTTTTTTTTCCCCATAGTGGAAGTACAATAATTTGCAGAGATGTGAATGAAATAAAAAAGAAATACCAGAACATCAAACAGAAAGGTAAATAACACTCTTCTGATAATTTGTATATATACAAAAAAAAAACAAGTATAAGATGTACTTTTTTTTTTTTTTACAAAATATTTAGGCTTATAAGTAAAAATTAAAATACAGTTGATTATATAGCAGTGCATGCCCAAAAGATTTTAAGATTTATATATGTCACCATTTTATCTAACATCTATATTGTCATTAATTGTAGCAAAAGAAAAAAGAAGTGCCATTTTGAATCCTAAAACAGGGGGAGGGAAAAAACCAGCATCACCGAATGCAAGTGAGCAGTTGTTGTTGGACAACTTAGAAGGGAGACCGAGTCTATGTGGCCTTGCCAGTGGAATAGACACTGCAGCTGGTAATGAAGAAATGAACATTATAGCTTTAAATGCATATTGAGTGACGTTATTATTATGAATCTTATTTAGTGTATGGTTAACTATTTTATTATATAAAAAAGATGAATTTTACAGGGTTTACTTTTGTTGATAGTCATCAGTAATGTAATAAAATTATGAATTCAAAAATTCACACTAATTACAAGAAAATGAGATATGAATTTGAAAATATATATTCAAAAATTTATGTAAATTTTCTATGTTCCCACAGCAGGGGCATGCACATTTGTGGGCATTACGCCAAAATTAGTTGAATAAAAAAAATCATTCTTTCAGAATCAGTTGTGGATTTCTTGGATGACAACCATGCCTTGCATGAATTTGATTTGACCAGCGAGACCACTCAGCTTGAGCATTTAAATTTAATGTTTCCACAAACACAGCCTCTGCCCTCCACATCTACTACTTCATCAACAGAGTTTCCACTAAAAGTAACGTCAGAAATGCTTCTTCAAGAAGAACTCATTAACATCAGAGAAAGAAGAAAGCTCATTAAGGAACAACAACAGCTAGTCCATCTTCAAAAACAACATGTAATGTTAAAAATTAAAGAGAAAAATCCCTCCTTCAATTTCGAACACTTTATGAATGAAATGTAAATATTATGAAATATATATAGCAATAACTACAGGTTTTGCATGTGCAATGTGCCTGAGATCACAACATATGAATTAACATCCATGTGTTTCAAACAAAGAAGTGACACATGCCTTGATTTGGCTTAATATTGTATTGCCGTAATGGGAGGGGTATTGCATGGGTGTTGATTAACATTTGTTGTGACCTCATAGTTGATTTTTAAGAGGTTTTCTGATCACAATTTATCTGGCGTCCATCAGATCTGTAAACATAACTTTTATTTTATGTTTTCTCTCTGCATGGTCCTCTGGCTGAATTATAAGTGTCTCTCTGGTCAAATTAAATTTATATTGGCATGTAAAATGTATTCTTCATACATTGATAACATCCATCCAATATATTTTTCTCATACTGTATGTGTATTTCCAAACTGACATCATTATGATATTTGTATAGATACATGCTTATAAATGGTATATCTCATAAATATGTTGACATGCATTTACTATAATTCACTGAATCTTTTTTTTCTTCTTTGGATATTTTTTTTTATTATTAAATTTGTTAAACACATTACTATCAATATATTGATAAAATTTTTGGCAAGTGGCATTGTATTACTGTTACAGTACTTAACTGTTATAACAACTGCAGTATTATATTTTTCGGAGAGCTACAGTTCTGCAGCTACAATTTCCTTATTAAATGTGATGGTAAGAATAAAAGTATATACAATATAATCTGAACTCATTAGTATGCAGGTTATAGAGGGTTCCTAATTTATTAATGATAGTGGCTTATATTTGCATACTTTAACTTTTCATGGCATTTTTCAATTATTTATGCCTTGCCATCTGCAGTAAAAAATTGTAAAAGTTTTGTAGAGAACTACATGTATCTTTATCATTCATCTTTATAATATATGCATTTCTATCTCTGGTGTTTCAATACTATAAATACTTTGTACTTTTTTGGATTTGGTTACAGACAAATTGTACACGGAATACTAAATCCATCACATGCTGCATTGTAATATTCAGGTAATGCTTGTTGCATATGACTTGTTTCAGTCCAATGTGTTTGTTCAAACTGTTTAGTATCTATGACATATATGTTTTTGTTTTTCTTGACCATTTTCTTTAAAATTTGCTTCTATTAAATGGAAAGAAAAACTGAGTCTTATACAATAAGCCATGTTATATCAATTCAGTTTTTAATCAAGTAATTATGTATTGAAGTTTAAAAAGAACAATAAGACATATTCAATGTTTTCTAAAATTCTTCATTGAGCATTGATATCATTGACAAACAAATAATATAAATCACAATTTTCCTTTTTGTTTTAATTTAGAGATGTTGTACAATTGTGTATAAATATAATTCATTCAGATCATATTCTGCTCTTTCAATTTTTTTAATCTGTATAGTGATATTCAATTTTCTGAATGTTGTTGTTTTTAACACAAATATTAAAATATATACAAGTTATTACATGTATCACCTAGAGTACAATTTCATATTACTGTACATATGTCAGAAACAAATAGGAACATTGAATAATTATATATAAGCTTTAAATTCTTTAATGAACTGTTGTATATATCTATAAATATATTTATTATTTGAACATCTTTCTATATTATTTTCTGTCTGAAATATGACAGTGGTGATGCTTTAGGTTATGTAAAAAACATACATGTTTGGTGCTTCAGATTAACATTACAAAACCTTTCTCATTTTGAAATCAATAGTTGTTTCCCTTTACACAGTAATCCATAATGATGCATGTGCTCAAAAATTGAACTGAATTAAAAACAAAATCTTATTGGAATTTAAAATATAGTACATTTTATGCAGTTGAAATATGAAATATAAAAAAAATGCATTTAGTGCATGTTAAAATTGTACATTGAATTATCAATTTCATCATCCATTTAGAAACTGTTTAAGAATATACCTGTTTTGAAATTAAGGCACAACTTAATGAAGGATAAAATTTGCAAACTAATAGGTTTCATATAAATGAAAAACCAAAATGATTACAGTGCCAACTTTTTTCATAATTAATATTAACAGTTCAATGTGCAAGATATAATTATTATAATAATTTCATGAGAATGGAAATTTTTACATAGTAATTTAACATTATTTCTTTCAAGTGTCATTTGTTTGTAGTTGATATTGTACTTCATTGTTAATGTGAATGAGGAAAGTTGTGCAATCACATTATTATTGTTATTTAAATTGCAATAAATTTGTTATTTTATTTATTTATTTTTAAGTATCTTTTCTCTAAAAGACTAACCCCCCCCCCCAAAAAAAACAAGAGGCTTAGGGGCCACATTGCTCACCTGAGCAATTGAAAAAAGCATACAGCAGATCAGAACTGAAAGTTTACTTGGGGGGGGGGTTGAACTTTAACCCCCCAGGGGGTTATGATTTGAACAAACTAAAATCTACACTACCTGAGGATGATTCCCTATAAATATCACTAAGCATGGCTTTGAAGCACTTGAAATGACGATTTTAACAGCTTTCCCTATATATTCTTATGTAAAACTTTTATCGGCAATTTGGCCCAACCCTACATCCGGGGGTCATGAATTGAACAAACTTGAATCTACACTACCTGAGGATGATTCCACATGGGTTTCATCTTTCCTGGCCCAGTGGTTCTTGAGAAGAAGATTTTTAAAGATTTTTCCTAAGTAAGAGCCAGATTAGGCCAAGGAGAAAGAAGATATGCTCTATATAAGAGATCTCAGACAGACAGATGGATGGGCGGACAAACAGACTGACCACTACAGGGCACCTGCAGAGTGGGGCCCAGACTAATGGCTTTTATGATTCACAAATGTATTATGAATTATTTTTGACAAGCACCTTGACCTTTGAGTTTCACTTACTTTTGAAAAACTTGAATTTCAGCCTTTAGCAGCTTAATGAGCTAGGCAACATGAGTGTTCATAAACAAATCTTAAATTAGTAAAAGTAGGTACCACACAAAAATGAATTTTCCTTATTATAGCTACATGTAAATGTCAAAATAAAGGTAAATATTTCAATATACTAACAGTTGTAATAATTGCAAAATCAGACAGAATGTGCGTTACTTAGAATGATTATACTAGTAATATAACACAGGAATATATTGTAATCTACACTCTATAGTATAATATAATATGTATATTAATTTTCTTAATTTAAATCATAGAAAACAATACCAATGATGTACATGTACTAGGTACAGAGAGTGATACAACAGTGCATTTACAGGTGCATGCAGATGATTTAACTGATACTGGAGAAAAATATTGAAATTTCAAACAGTAATCTAAATCCATAAATTACACTGATGTTTTGTATTGATGGTTGCATAAATTATGTAAGAATTGAAAAAGTTAAAAATTTTGCACTGGTTTCTCATAACTTAACAAGAGCAAGGCCTGAAATGTCAATGATCAAAACACTGTCTGGCAATTATCTCCCTGAATCCAAAGCCATTGTTGTTACCTTGGTTAATCATAATGTTGTCTACATCTGGGCCGGCTATGGTGAGGTCAGCTGGGTCGACAGACACAATGTCTTGCCTCATGATCCCTATGTTGTGTAGAACAACACATGCAACCACGTATTGACAGGCTCTATCTGGGTTTGTTCTCAGGGTAACGGACAGGCAAGGGAATCTTCTTTTCAATATACCAAAAGTTTGCTCTATAATGACTCTTGTTCTGCACAATGCACTGTTGTAACGCTCTCTGTATCTGACATCATTGGTATTGTTATAAGGCGTCATAAGGTATGTCCGGCAGGGGTACCCGGAGTCCCCCAAAAGTATACCATTATGCTGACCTGAAAGATTAAGAAAATTATATTAAAAAAAGATGTTTTTGAAAGTAATGCGCCCGGCGGCAACAAAGTTCAAAAATGGCTATTTTTAGCATATAGGTCACAGTCAAGGTCATAAGGTCATTGACCTTGGTGTCATTTGAAATAACTTGATTAGTGGAGAATGTGATCTAAATATGCAGTCTCTATCTCAAATGGCTTAAAAGTTATTGCTAAGGTATGAAAAAGCTATTTTACACATATAGGTCACAGTCAAGGTCACAAAAGGTCATTTACCTTGATGTCATTTGAAAGAGCTTAATTAGTGGAGTATGCATACAAAATATGAAGTCTATACCTCTCATCAAAGTTTAAGTTTGCAGACAAAAAAATTAATTTTAGCATGTAGGCCACAGTCAAGGTCACAAGGTCATTTATGTTTATTTACTAGGGTGTGATATTGATCTGTATCAGCCCCACAAATCCATATCAGCCCTGCAGGACTGATACAGCTATTGTGATGTCAGTCACATATTCCATATGCAAAAATACTGTAATAGTATTTATTACTTATATATATATATATATAAGGCAATTTCAAGTTTTTTCTATGAGTAGCAACCGCATGCCCATTGGTTTTTGACACCTCATATAAGAAAAAACACACAACATCAGGGGGTCCTGAAATTGATTAATTTAGTTGATTTTTTTTTATTTTGTCAATTTCTCCAAAATATTCTGTACAGTAAGTTATATTGGGTGAATTTAAAGCATTTAATCCCTTGTTTTTGCTTAAGAATAGATATTTCTTCTTTTAAAGCTGTTTATTTAGATCAAATCATTTGAAGAGCGTCATTTTATTGATAATGACTTTTAAGCCTGTGTTTTATGTTTTGGCTTGTTTGTATTTTGCGAATAGGTAGGTAGGTTTTTGAAAGATGTGTGGACGCTAAACAGAGAAAAAACTTGGAATGGCCTAAGTATATGTAATAAATGATTGCCTTAGCTTTAAAAATGTAATTAATTGCATGGAATATTTACCATTCTCAAACTGCTGACAGAGAACACTTTCTCGAAAGACTCTTGAATCATGGCAGGATCCTGGCCATTTTGCAACACAGTTTGTTATAATGAAGTTGGCATCACAGGTCATCTGAAATATGTTTGAAATAGTTGTTTTCATTTGCCATTTTTTCAAAATATATTATTTCTCTTTAAAAATCAATGTAATACATACAGAGTATAAGTAGATTTGTTGCATACCTTATTATATCTTAATTAATTTATATCATTGAAAACTTATTTACCTCCTTTGATATGAAACCATCTTCAATCAAATTAAAAAAAATCATTACCATGACATTTAAAGAATGATATCCTTTTCTGTTGATGTAATCGGGCTCATTTTCAGTAGGAGTTTGGATGCGAATAAAAGTACCATCAACACACCCCAACACACCAGGGAACCCTACAAGTTTCAAAGAATAATATTTCCCTCAGTTTTCTATTTTTATTTTTTAGTTAATTAAACTTTAATTAATTATTTTTTACCTTTTTAAATTTTAAGAATTATACAATTGAAAGAGTATAATTATGAAGATAATGTACCAAAAATAATAAAATGAACATGACAGTAAAATTATGAAATGTAAAAAAAAAAGTTAGGATTTTAATGTACAATATGTGTTATTTTGATGTTACCCCCCCCCCCCTATTTTCTGTCTGATATGCCCTTGTATGTAATTTAGTAACAATACAAAATCATCAAAACATAATATAATGATAATAAAAAATTGCAAGAGATTTTTATTTATTTTCTTATTTTAAGACGTAGGAAACCCATAAATCCCTTTTAAAAAGTGAACTTTGATTGGGGTCGAAAAGTTTGAACCGAAAAGCTTATAGACCGAAACGTGTTGATGTGTTTTCAATGTGAAGGTCACGAACGGATGAAGTGAAAGTTGTCCTCGATTCTTACCTGCGATAGCATGGAATTTTCTTTTGACATTGGTAGCATCTTGTCCTGTGGGGAAACTGATAAAAGCTGCAGCAATGGACAGAAGTGCTGAGGCTACTCTCCTTATGCATCGCCCCGCAGTGGATTTCGACACATGGACGGTGTCGCCTACAACTTGATGAAAAGCACCCGTGGCCACGAACCGGAGGAAAATTAGAAGCTGGAGTATCCCTGGAAGTGCCAAAGACCTCTTGGTGTGATGCTCTACGATCCCATTCACCAGATTATGGATAAATATGATAGTAGGTCGTCTAAACCGATACCTCTCAAATAATTCTTCTTCTGTATGCATACCAAGGGGGTCAAGCCTATCTCTGAACACCCGAGGACGAGGGAGACGTCTTCTTTGGCGATTTTCATGGTTTGTTCGTCTCAAAAACCCAACAAGAGCGGCCATTTTGATAGAACGTAAGATTGATCTTAAAAAATAAAGACTGCCCATAGGCAGTCTTAAAATTTAAGACAAAATTCTAGTCTTAACTCTAAGTCATTTTTTTGTGATCCACTTTAAGATCAATCTTAAATTTTAAGTGCAAATTTTTGGAGTTAAGTCTGACTTTAGATTTAAGACAGTTTCATGATCCCGGAGCCAGGTGTCTAAATTCCCCTGTTCTGTAAATACCGGCCTGTCCCTAAAAACAACTCACAATGCCCTTGACCGTAGTAACCCTGAATATCAATGGCATGTTAAATGCCCCGTCTAAATTTGAACTATTTACGTGATGTTTAAAAGAGTGAGGAGGTCGTTGACAAGTATGTGGAGGTAGAGAAACTCGAGTGGGCCAAGGAGAATGGTATAATGACGGCGGTAAGGACGACAGTAATAAGGATGAATGAGAGCAGCTGTAAATACCCTATACATAACATTACTCTACAGCCAAAAATGCTTATTTTGAAATCATTTGAATTCATTTTTATGTTAGTGTATATGTTTGAATCTGAAATTATGGATTTGGATTGAACTTGAAAGCATGTATAAATTAAGTATAATTTTTTAGAATTAAAATTTAAAAATTCTGGCACCTGCATAGTGAGTATTGCAGCATTTCCATTAAAAACGAATAATATACGTTTTGCTTTTAAAGACTTTGGAAAAAAAATATTTAACACAAGTTAACATTCACTTTTTTCGTGTTTAGGTCATTATAAAATAAAAAAAATATCCTTAAAATATTTATTTTTATGTTTCCCATGTAAGATGATGTTATTATTCTTCAAGATTTGCTGCGGCCTTCAACTCGATATTTAGATATATCGACGACGTATTGTCAATTAATAATGGTAGTTTCCATTCCCATGTCGATACGATATATCGAGCTTGAGGTAAAAGATACCTCAGAGTCCGACACTTCTGTTTCACACTTGGATATTTTACTTGAAGAAGACACTAATGGTAATCTAACAACCAAGCTATATGATATGCTTGTGGCATTTTGTGGTATGTTGGTTCTGTTTGTATATACAGTATAATTTGTCCAAACCGGCTTCCGCCGGTTCCATAAAATTTGGCCGGTTTAGACAAAATCCGGAGTGCAGGAAAAATGCCGGAAAATATCAATTTCGAAAATTTCGTTGTTTATTTACAAGTACATCATATACATACTATAAATAAAATTAAATGATGAAATCAATCAATATTTTGGAGTCTGGAAATTATAAAATAGTCTCACATGACTTACTGTATTTTTTTTATTTGTTCACAAAGTTCGAAAGTCGGGTGAAATGTTACCTCAATCAAAATATACAGGCACGCATAATATAGGCCTACTATGTATCAAGCGGATCGGGTTTCGCTTGTCAAAGACCTCATTCAATGTATTAACAGTAATGCACAATTATTTACGATATGCTAATTATTAGATTGAACTTTTAATTTTTATGAAAAAAATTACGTCTTCCCCATGGCTCCATTTTGAAATACATTCGATTTTCGATCCCGATTTATATTTTGATTTGTAGATCGCGTGCATGTATATATTTTTGTGTTTATGTTATAATGTGGTAAAAGGAGTTAAAACAAAGTTAATTTTTTTAAATTGTAATTTAATCATATAATATATTTTTCAAGTGGGCTGTGTCACCGCCGCATTTCACTGAGTTCGTCTCATGGCACTTATCATGCTAATGTAAACACGGATTATTACATCCACCACGAAAGGTGTTAATTGCTTTGAAGTAAAAAAGAATAATTACCGTTAATTATGAGCAGTTGGGATCAGTATGGCCGTTCGGAATACAGAATAGACAGTATCCGGACTACACGGAATTTTTTTTTAATGAATTTGTTAAAGAAGTGCATGGGACTTAAATCTATAGACGGATTGGACAAAAGTCCGGAGTACTCAGAGTCCGGATTAGACAAATTTTACTGTAGATAGTTTTCACTTGACCTAAATTTAGCAAAAGTTACCTCCCGTTGGCAGCCATACTGGAGGTCCAAATGCTCATATAGCTTCCTTGTTCAACCAATTTGAAATTTTTATATTTGCGATTCTGAATTAGGAATCATTAATTTTCTGAAGTATATAAATATTTGGAAGCCTCCTTTATTTTAAAAAAATATTTAAAAAAGATTTTCCACCAAATATTTCTGCTATATTTTCTTAAACTTGGTAAGACAAAGAGGAAAACTCACCGAGTCGACATCCAATATGGCGACCAACGGGAGATAACTTTTGCTAAAATTAGGTTAATCGAAAACTATCTATTACAAAATTATTATTTAAAACAGTTTGAAAGAGCAATTTATAACTTTTTGGCCTAGGAAATATGAACCTCTTAAAAGATCCGATTGTTACAATTATAAGAACCAGAAGCTCTCTCGAGACTGTAGCTCTCCTGGTTTATATTTAAACAAAGGAAGAAAAAAGAAACCATTAGACCAAAAGTGTAGGAGGAATAGAGTTTAAAAGGAATTTCGCAGAAATTTCTATTTTTATTAACGATGGTAACACCGTTCATCGAAATCAAAAACCGATGCACTAAATTATGTATCTTAGTGTATTTTACTTGTGTGCCAAGTTATATTGAAATCAGACCAAAACTGTAGAAGTAGTGTTTAAAGTGTATTTCACAGAAATTTCTATTTTTAAAAACCATGGCAACTATGTTCATTGAAATCGTTAGCTAAACCTATCAGGCTGTCGGCAAGCCAAACAATGTCAGAGGGGAACAGGATGTTCCGTGAGTAACGATACCCTTCCTGGAACTGTTAGTAAGTTCCAGGAGACGGAGACTGTTCGTAATTCCCCAGACAAAGAGACTGTTTGGAAGTCTAGAGGGGAGGAGTCCTCGGACTCCCCTGACCTTATGTAGGACCATGACGGTCCCCAGGGGGGAGGGGCAGTGGCTGCTAACCCCTTTCAGTCAGGACAGGAGGACCGGGGTGGTTCTCCTACAGAGGGGGAGTCTGGGGGCGACTCCCTTGTTGATGAAATCTTAAGTGGTACCCAGCTTGGCACTCAGCTGAGTGCCACAGGGGGGAACACTGAGGTGTCCCCCCAGACGTGGGAGGAGCAAATGGACGCTGAGACCGATGAGAACGAAGGATTTCAGACAGTTAAGAGGAGAAAGAGAAAAGTCAGCGATTTTACAAAAGATGACCTGGCCTGTCCCTGGACTATTCTTTATTATTTAAGGAGATTTTCTCCTGGTGATTTATTTATTTTCATTATAATTTGTCTTTTAGTTATGTTTATTTTATCTGTTCATTTATATTTTTTTTGTTTCGTCTAAGTTTCTGTGTTCATTTTTATCTTACGTTCTGTTATTCATATTTAGTTCATTCATGTTCTTCTTTTACACGAGATTTTTGTATCACTCAGACCAGGTGTCTAAATTCTTTTGTTATACAAACACCGGCTTCTCTACCTGTCTTTAAAAAACAACTCACGATGTCCTTGACTTTAGCGACCTTAAACATCAACGGCCTATTAAATAACCCTTCTAAGTCTGAACTATTTACTCAATGTTTAAAGGAAAAGATCTCTATTGTATTACTCCAGCAAACACTTTTTAATAATATAAATAACGTTTTAGCTATAAAGTCTATATTTAATACAGATAAATGCTATTTTTGTTTTTTGATCTAATAGAAGTAGAGGTGTAGGAATAATCATTTTAAATCCTGATATTGTAGTTAATAAATTTCATTTAGATATGGATGGCAGGTTAGTGTATGTAGATGTTACTTATAATGATATGAATTATAGAATTATTAACATTTATGCTCCTAATAATGAGAAAGATAGAATTATGTTTTTTGAAGATTTATATCCTTTATTATTATGTAATAAGCATTTAATAATTGGGGGTGATTTTAATTGTGTTTTAAATACAAAACTTGATAAGATCGAGGCAGAGACGGACGAGGACGAGGGGTTTCAAACTGTTAAAGGAAGGAAGAGGAAGGTAAGTGATTTCACGCGTGATGATCCACAGAGTCCGCTATCTGCCCAGCCCAGCCGTGCAGATAGACTGTGAGTAACTTTTTTTTTTGTAACTTTTTTAATTAACCGAGTGTTTAATGGACTTTGGCGGCGACGATTCTCTCAATGATGACCTAGGCCCTGGACTTTTCTACATTATTTAAGGAGATTTTCTCCTGGTAATTTATTTAGTTATTTTCATTATAATTTAATTCTGTTTGTATTCTTGTCTCTCATTGGTTGATTTCCAAAAAGGAACGCATAACATTTTGTATAATCTGGTTTGGTATGGGGACACACCCCCTTGACAACCAGCTGAATCATCTGTATCCATCAATCCCCTCATTTCCAGTCCTTCGGATTCATGAAAAATTCCAGATTTAATGAATGTACCTTTAACTTCAAACAGTTGCTCGATCTTACCTCATGTAAACAAGCATCATGGCTGCTAGATCTATGTATCAGTTTTTACCTCCCCTTGCTTCCCATCACTTCCGTTACTACGGTTGTATTATTGCGCGGTAAATTTGAACTAATAAAAACAACACAATTTTACATCCCCAGTTGTTTAATTATTTCAAAATTAAATTATAAGTAATGACTCTAATTCTTGGCCAGATTATCGAGTATAATATGGTTTGGGTCAGTTTACGCTTTTTTATAATCCGCTTCGCGGATTATAAAGCGTAAACTGACCCAAACCATATTATACTCGATAATCTGGCCAAGAATTAGAGTCATTCCTTAAATAATTTGTGTTTTACTTATGTTAATTTTGTTCTTTTTGTTTGTGTTTTTATTTTTAGTTTATTTTGTTTTGTCTAAGTTACTGTTTTCATTTTCTATGTACGTTCTGTTATTCTTGATTAGTTCACTCATGTTTTTCTTTTTCACGGGATTTTTGTTTGAGTTAGACCAGGTGTCTAAATTCTTCTGTTCAGTAAATACCGGCTTCTCTACCTGTCCCTAA